GGAAAGTATTTTATTTTATTGCCAAAAGCAAAGTTTATTACCATATAAAATAGGCCTTTAGCTGCTTAGATGTAGTATACACTAACTACTCAACAATCCTTAGATCTTCGGCCTTTCAAACTACTTGTACATGCATTTTGCCCACGCAGATGAGCTAAATTCAGTGGTGAGGAGTTGTGAAAGAGAGGTATCGACTTACTATCAGTGTGGTATTGACTTTAATGTTTTTCTGTGATAACTGCTCAGGGCCAAGGAGTGTACAGGCAAGAACATGATTATATTTCGAATCGCTTTGGCCACGATGGAATGATTGACAGCTACACGTGACGTCTTATTGCCATATATGGTCGCACGGCCGAAACATACCAAAATCATAGTACTGAAGTCTTCTGAGGGTCTTTGGTCCTGCTGAAACCATGTTTGAAGCTTTAAAAAATTCAGGTGCATAATTTTTTTTTCAGCCAAATTCCAGACCCCCCCCCCCAGGTCGCGGTCTCGGCTTCGGATCCCGCCACCCCCTTGACAATCCCTCGATTCTGTGACAGGTACCGTAAGAGCAGCCCTGCACAGGGAAGATTGAATGTCCCGCTGGCGGCGGTAGATTTCGCCGAGTCCTGGATTTTTTATTATTCCGTTGAAACATTTACGACCAGCGTCGGTTTCCTCCCTCGTTAATCGCTCTGGAAAGATTCGCAGCAGATTCTATAACAAATGAAGCTCGTACCTCGCTTGTTAGTGAAAAGAGCTCGTCGGGCCAAGCACAGTCAAACATGCCGATTTACGCTTCAGGATCACGCAACTCCTTAATATGCAGCCCGTCGATGCAACAACCATTTCATTCTTTAATCTTCATTCGCGCGAGTGCAAGTAGGTGGGTGGTTTGGTAGGTAATTAATTAGCATAATTATCTGGCAAAGCGGTCGAGTGTGTGTGTATGTAGGACGAGGAGGGAGTCATGAGGAGAGAAAGGAACGATGTAAGTAAAAAGAACAAAAGAAGACGAAAGAGGAAACTGGGCGGTCTACACAACGCATCTACCAGCTACGCCATTCTGGAGCTCTTCGTCGCACGAGGTGTCCGCCCCACCATACCTAAGCGCAGATCCTTTTGGCACGCAGGAGACGCGTCGACGCAGGGACACGGAAGACGCGGTCGACACGGCGCACGGCGCAGGAGACGCTGCCTCACGCACCGTACGCAAACGTGTCCTTGGACCCGTCCACGCGCTCGATGTACTCCTTCTCCAGGAGCATCCTCTATTGCTTGTGGGGTGCGTCGACAGCATCACCCGTAACAGCAAAAATAGAAAGGGAGAGAAGGGGGCAATGTTGTAGCGTTAACGGAGAAGGGGGAGGAAGGGGAGGGGGGGGGGGGCGAAAGAGGGAATAAGGCTGACGCGGAAAGACCAGACGCAGGAGGCCGCGCGTCGCTTCCAAATTGCCCGCGTCGGCGTCTAGTGCACTGCGGCGAGCGCGTCCAGGCCATCCACGTCGGCGCGCCGAGCACGTCAGCACCCGGCTTGCGCGCAGCGCACAAGGCAACGTGGGGACGCTACGAGAAGTGCGGCGCGGCCATCGAATGAAAAGCGCGCGGTGGCACATCCACGTCGACAACGTCGCCTGCGCACACGTCGACAGCGCTAGCCACATCCACACCCGCCCCTCGGCCACGACGCGCGGCACAGAACGCAGGCGCCTGGTATAACGGCCCCCCGCAAGCACCGGCTGGGGAACAGAGGCGCACCGGCGCCGGGGCTCGAAAGCGCGCCGCGGCTCCGCAGGGCCCGAAGGCGCCGAACCGAGTCCCGCGCAACACACAAGGCGAAGGCGCGCGCCCACGGAGCGGGGCGTATGTCATCCACGTCGGCAGCGTCACATACCCGTACGTCGACAACGTCAGGCACATCCCCGTTCGGCGCTCGACGCACGTCGGCCACGACTCCGGCGCAGAACGCACGTCTGCAACTACCGGCTGGGGCCCAAAGACGCAATGCGTCTACGCCTCGAAACCGCAGAACGCAGTCCCGCGCAGCACACAAGGCGAAGGCAAACGAGCGCCCACGGAGCGGAGCGTATGTCGCGTACCGCCTTCCCACCCGTAACATCTGCGTTGAGGCCGTCGCCTACGGCGGCACGCCCGCCCGCCTGCTTCCGGCGACCTAAGACGCAGAGAACTTCGCGCGCACGCCGATCCGATAAGCCAGACACAAGCGCAGTTCATATAACGCGCAGCCACGCGACGCCGACGGGACAGCGCGCGCAGGCCGCGCGCGGGACACGCGGCGCACATGGCCCCGCGGAACAGCCTGCGCGTCACCTCTCCCCCCAGCCCGCGGACTGGATGCGGCCCACAGTACAGAGCGCGATGCAAGCCCTCATAGCACAAAGCGACGCGAGGAGGTGCGTAGTGCGCAGTAGATGGGGCAGATCCCCGACGTGCACTAGGCGTAGAGAATCTCGCGCGCAGACCGATCCGATACGGCGCACATACACGCTCATAACGCGCAGCCCACGCCGAGCGCGCTTACGCGACAGCGCGCGCACCCCCCTTCCGCACCAACCCCCCCCCTCCCCCCCCCCCCGAAGAAAACCCTCCCCGCAAAACAACACCCCAACCCAAAAAAAACGAAAACGCCCCGCCCCACCAATCACCAAATAGGAAGGAAAGAAACACACCTTAATATCCAGAATCTTCGGCGCAAAGTGCTGCGCTGGATGAGCGCTTGGTTCGTGATCGTCTTGCGCGTTCGTTATTCTGCGGGGGGCGTGTTAGCGTTGGTGCGGGAAGCGGGAGAAAAGGGGGAGGGACGCGGAGGAGCACGGGAGGAGGGAGGGGAAGGCCACAAGGAGGGGTGGGGACGGGGAAGGTACGACATGGGCGAGTGGGAGGGAGGTACGAGACGATTAGGGTCGGTATAACACGAGCGGGAAGGCGAAGGTAAAGCAGGGGCGGGAAGGGAAGACAGCCAAAAGTGCCTGGGATAAGGAGAGACGCAGCATTCGATATGGGTGAACGGGAAGGGAGTATGAGACGAGGGGGAGGAAGGTAGGGGAAGTTGTACGGAAGTACGAGCCGAGCGGGAGGAGGAGGAAGGAGCGAGAGACCAAGACGGACATGATCGTCGCCTGCGTCACGTACTTCCTCGTCCACCGCGCAGGAGGTCCACGCGGATATTCTTGGATTTGAAGCTTGGGGAAGGGGGCGCGTCAGTAAGCGTGGCGCGGGTGGATGGCAGGAGGGAAAGCCGCGGCACCGAAAAACGGCGGACCAATCCCGCAAAAGAGGGCAGGCCAGCGTGGGTACGTCCCCCAAAAAACAGGGGTATCCCGTATAGGTACGCCCTCGAGAGAGATGCTGGCAGCGATGTTTTGGCCGGCCGGGGCGAAGCGGCAGCTCAGGATCTCGCCCTAAGGTGCGTCAGTTGAATATCGATGGGAGAAGCCCGGAGAACAGAGGCAAGCGGGGACACGTGACGATACGTGTTTAGACAGGTCGGCCAAGCACGGTTAAACATGAGATAACATTAGTTATTGCGGCTGGACTCGTGAACTAGCCCGACGCTGGCTCTTAGGCCAGCTGCAAGCATCCTTATGTTGCAGTTACAGGCTGGAGCTGGTGATTCGGGTGGATTAGACGCAGTCAAATTAAAACGGACTCGAGAGCAGAATTTCCCCACCTCGTTCTCGAGTCCGTTTTTATTGGAATGAGTCCCCTCCGACTAGCAGAAAATACGATCGTGGGTATGTATCTTAGGTCCAAAGGTAAGCTCATATCGTCTTCGTGGAGTAATGCAACTCGCTAAGTTGTTCCATTAGGTGCAGAGAGTCGGTGGTATGAATCCACCCGAAGACATTTGTTGGAATGAAATCCGTTCTTTTTCTTCCTCCCCTCTCAAAACAATATTAATATTGTGGTAGGATGATATCGTCTTCGTGGAGTAATATCCACAACCCACTCCCACTTGGTCCCCTTTGTGTTGACATAGCGGGAGTTTCGGTGGTTCAAACCCACCCGAAGACATACGGGTTCATTTGGTAGGCTTTTTTTTTTCCACCCCATTGAGGATGTTGAATCTTGAAAGGCATGAAGGATTCAAGCTAGGCAGATATCGTCTTCGTGGAGTAGTGTAACTCAGTTTGATCTGCACAACTGGGCAACGGCAGAGTCGGCAGTTCGAGTCCGCCCGAAGACATACAGTGTCATAGCTTTGGCTTTTTTCCTCCTGGGGAGAAAAGGCATTGCAATGGATTTATTCGGGATACCAAGTAAACTCATATCGTCTTCGTGGAGCAATTATTGCAACTCGCTCCCACTTGCTCATTGACCATAAGGGGGGTAGTTCGAATCCACCCGAAGACATTCTTGGGTTGTGAGACTTTTCTTTTTCTTTTTAGCCTTTTGTGCCTCTCCTCTCAAAAACAAAATTAACTATGTGCGTGAGGTAAACTGATATAGTCTTTGTGGAGTAATGCAACTCACTCCTACTTTCTCATTCAGTATTATACCTTCAATCAGTTGGTGGTTCAAACCCACCCGAAGACATTTCACATACACAGTGAGATCCTTTTTGTAAAAAAAAACCCCCCGACGGGGGATGGTATGGTATTAAGTGGATATAATCTTTGGGGTAGTCCCACTAGTTTCTCAGTGGTTCGAAGACATTGCAGCCATACGGCTTTATTCTCTCCTGGGCTAAAACAAAGCTGATATCGTCTTCGTAGAGTAATGCAACTCACTCCCACTTGCCAGTTCCGTGACATTCTTGGCGTGGCGGGAGAGTCGGTGGTTTGAAACCACCTGAAGACATTTGGATTTCTAGTGCTCGGTTTTTTTTCTTTTACCCGACCGGCGGGTTCGTACTACCCTTGAGTCGAAAACACTTCAAACCGGAAGCCATGCGAAAATATTTGAGCTTGAAGCCAGTTGAAAAACATTCGCTGCTTTTTGCCTACCCGAAAAGAATGAGGGAGTATATTCAGGTTACCAGCTGAGGTTACATTGTCTTCGTGGAGTGATCATTGTGACTCGCTCCCACCTGTTGATGAATGCTGAACGCAGCCACGGGAGAGTCGGTGGTTCGAATCCACCCGAAGACGTACCACCGCGGCGGACTTTTTTTCTTTCATCCCCCACGGCTAGAGAAATATTGAGGGAGTATATTCAGGGTACAAAGGAAGCTTGTGTGGTCTTCGTGGAGTAATGTAACTCACTCCCACCTGTTTATTGACCACTGTTCCGTCCATAGAGGGAGAGCCGGTGGTTCGGACCCACCCAAAGACATTCCCCAATGTGATAAAACTCCTTTTTTTTCTTTTTCTTCCCACAGCTATGGTAGGCGACATCCAGATCCATCGAGTCACGTGAACGTGACTGATGAGTGACATGTAACGTGGGAAAACGCGAAATCCTGGAACCGGAAAATCAAGTATTGTTTTTGAGGTGAATTCAGTGTCCGGGAGGTCAGGAAAAAATTGGTAGGGGCTTTGAAGCTCTATCTGCTCACATTTGCATAGTAGACACCTAAACATGTTATGAGAAGGTATTTTAACCACGAGGGCTGTGTAGGTTTGGGCAAATACTACTCATCATCGAGAAAATCACCGGATCGCTTTATTATTTCGCTTCTGGGTTAATTACTGTAAACAGTGTAGAATACTTGTCTCTCATAAGTATCTCCTCTGAAGGGATGAGGGTGTTAGGGGTGGGAATTTTTCAGAATATGGCCATGTCAAGCCTTCAAAGTCGCTGCCTGATACACATTGTAGTGTTTTGCTTCATAGTGTATCATCGAATTTGATGGGATCACTGAATTGGGCCTGTTCTCCACCAATACTGCACCAATTCACTCCAGTGTTTCTGTAGGCAGGTAGCCACTGAATAGATGCATTGACTGGAAAAGAAGTTTGGGTGAATATTACTCTTCATCATGGAGAAAATTGCCGGATCACTTGATCATTTTGCTTCTGGGTTAATCACTGTGCCATGGGAAACAAACAGTTGTTTGCAGGGTGGTTAGGGGTGGGAATTTCCTTATTAGGAAGCGCAAAAAAATTTACAACAAAAATGAATGTCCATGCCAGGATGGTCTGAATCTCATTTGGAGTGTTTTTTTTAAAAATGTGTCAACTGCCATGTTTTGGGGGAATTTTTGAGAAATCTGCCACCACAAGATTGTTCCTAGCCTCAAATAGTGCATTTCTGTGGTTCAACTTTATTTTATTTGTGACTGTGGCCGGAGCCTATGGCCGAACAAGCCGTGTCACACTGATAATTCACATGACTCGATGGATCTGGATGTCGCCTACCTTAGAGAAAAACTGAGGGAGTATATTCATGGTACAATGTAAGCTTGTATTGTCTTTGCAGAGTAATTTAACTCACCCCCATCTGGTACATGCAAATTGTACAACCACGGGAGAGCCGGTGGTTCAAATCCACCTGAAGACATTACTCTGAGTTTTGCTGATTTTTTTAAAAAAAATTCCCGACCATCAGGTGAAGGTGGAGTGAGTATTCAGGAATCAGGATTCAAGCTGCTCTTCGTGGAATTCCCCAGTTGCCCAATTCCGTGTACAGATTGAGAAATTCCATAACAGAGAGCTGGAGGTTTGAAAGTGCAGTGTATTATGAGTACTTATGTAATAAGGATCGTCACTTTCAAAATCCAGATCATTTTTTTTCGTGACAGTGATCCAAGGGGCTGTTGGCTTTCGAAATTTGGATATGGGGTTGAAAAGTTTTTTAAGGTCAACTTCTGAGACCCCCCCCTGCATACCCCTCCAAATGAGGAAGGAGTTTCCCACCCTTCAACAGCCCGCAAATAGTTGATGCCATCAATCATGCCAAACAAGGCCAACTGAAGGTGCAGTTGGTGGCATTTGGCTTATGCAGTATAGCTTTTAGAGTGCAAAATAGTTTAGACTGAGTGCATATTTACTTCACGTGACCTGTCAGCCAGGAATAACACTCCCGCTTGCCCGCCCGTCTGGGCACCCCTCACCGCCCTCACCATTGCCGTCATCATTGGGTCATAAATGCAGAGAAGAAAATATTGCATTGAATGAACTACAACAACCACATACAAAAGCCAACAAAAGTGTAGACTCGCCAGGAGCCCCGAGTTCAGGCTCCAAGCCAAAACGATTGCAGCTGCAATGGATTGCGGCGGCAGGATAACTGCATGGGAGTAGTCACATTATGCTTGTGACGAGGAAACACCTCAGATATTGAACAGCCTTGAAGGATCCAGCGGACTTGTATGTAACGCTTGCTTGACACTCAGTCAGTTCCAAGAAACCTAGGCCGTTGAAGTTCTTGTAACTTAACATGATTCTGCCGTCCTCAAGTTACTTGAGGACGGCAGAATCATGCCATTCTTGAGCATCCTGAGCCAATGGTTTGATCTTGACTGCTTGGATACGCAAACAAAAGGCACGGAGATCTTGAGTGACACAGTCTTGATGGCTGGGCTTGTTAGAGTCACTTGAGCTGCTCGCCGACATGGTCGTCCCAAGGTCCAGGTCTGATTGAGCTTGTGTAGTTATTGCCAAAGGGACATACAGGGTGAAGGGGGCATGTGATGGTGTGAGGGGGCATGCATGAGAGCAGTAGGATGGGAGGAGGCAAAGCACATAGGGTGGAGATGAGAGAGAGGAAGATAGGGTGTTGAGTCAACAAAACATCATCACACGTGAAGATGATCAAGATCGCACCATTTCACATTTTTTTACTTTCAGTCGATTTTTCCAAGTAGACTGGGCAAAAAATACAAGGGAAGATGCACTGAGTTGATTTTCTTTTTTGCATCAATCACATCAAGTGGAAAATAGACCTGGGCTCAAAGCAAATAACCCCGATCTATCTTTTTAATCGAAGCGAGGTCTATCAATTGCGAGTCAGGTCGAGCCCATCTGAACGTCAGACTGGGTAAGAATAAATTGGGAGAACAATGTTAGATGTAAATAGTCTTTGAATAGAAACACTTACCCATCAAGTGTCTCTAAGATTGGCAAGCATTCAGTCCCCACCATGACAGTGGTGTAACATTTCGGGCATGACAGGTAGTTCTCACACGTGTTCATGATCAATCATTGATATTCCCAAAAGGTAACTGTCAATTGCTCAACGATATGTAGACCTTTGGAGCTTTGCCAGTTGGCGTAGGGCCGTGCATTATGGATGTGAAGAGAGTTGTGGAAATGTGTTTTTGAGCCATTCCCGCCTCTTTTGAAATACACTGAAAAAGTTTTTTTCAGCTCGACCTGGGACCCCCCAACCCTATATCCAAAATTAGAATTCCGACGACCCCTTGCAGCGATCGTTGAGGGACTGTTTAGGGGCTGTGCTGTTTTAAAATAGTGACAGTGTTTAATTTCGGCTCAAATATTTGTAGTCCTTTTAGAGGACCCCCATTAATAACCGGAGAGCCTAGATATTGATCCGTACACGGTTTTGGCAATCCGGCGTCGGAGCCTAGATGCATTTTTGCCGGTGTCCAGACAAGATTTGGTGCTCTGGGGTAATTTTTTTTTGAATCAGGTGACTAATTTTGGTGTGATATTGGGTTGTAAACGACCGGCATCGATGTGATTCACTCAGGAACTCCTCAAGAAGCGTGTACAGAGCTGTACAGTGGAGATTTGGCTTTTTTGAGGCCGTGAGAATCGGAAAGTCCCATTCTAGGACGGATTCCCACGTCCCTGTCCCTACACGGTCCGTCCGAGAATTCCGAGTTTTGGTATGTAGCCTCCGTGGTTATTAATGGGGGTCCTCTTTTTAGTGGCTGTAATGTTTACTGATGTTATTTTTCATCAAAACAGGCCTGTCACCAAGTAAAAACACTTTTTGTTCTTTGCTGTTGTTACATTTGGGGGGCCCCCTGCCAATTTCTGCCCTCAAAACACGGCTCTAACTCAGCAACCGTTGAATATTGTCCTCTAATTTAAGAGACATATGGAACTGCTTACTTTGACTACCTAGTCGCACCAATTTATTTGGGCTTAGGGCCACTGTGTGTGCATGGCAACGAGTCCGTTGGCACCTTCGGCACTACACATCAATAATCTAGTGAAGTGGAAGTTGAATATCATGGACTTTATTGCAACAATGGAGAATGAAAGGATGGGAAATGAATATGAATTAATATAGGGCACATATTCCTGCACATCTCCAACAGTGGGACGGGGTTCGGCTTCAAGTTGGGTGAGAGTCCCGTTGGCAATTGAAAGTCGGGTATATATCAGCCCGCACTCTTCGTGACAGGTGGAGTTCACAGTTTTCACGCAGGCCTGGCCACAAGCAAATTTGGAATAATATTGTGGATGACTCGGTGGAATTAATCTAGCTACTGGGAGTGTTAGTCGAAGTAAGGCATAAATCCAACTTGCATAAAGAGTCGATACATATATATCTATTTCCATTCTGCTCACTGTCATTGAACAACACCACAGGTGTTTAATTCATTCAGGGAAATGGTGAATTCCAGCAATAATTTCAATAGGACAGTACTATTGTCCATAGTAAGGATCCTTCGTGGGGTTTGAAGCATGTGCAGGATGACTACTTCTGAGGCCGAACGAAGTATTGAGCAATGGGATAAAATGAAATCAAAATGGTGCGCAGAGCTCTTATGGAAAATGAACCTAACACGCCGCACCAAAGTAAATAAAAAATTAGTCTTGTATTGAAGGGAATCCATTGAGTTCCACTGAAGGCCGTAATCATTTGCTCCCTTAATGCCATATTAATTGGTCACCCCTAAGAAGTTTGAACTTCCAGATTGATCAATTTGAACCGCTAGGGTAGAAAATATTTTTTCTTCAGTGACAGATTGGATCCAGGGACTAGTAGTCTTGTTTTTTCATCTAATAACCATCAATCTCCACATTGGCATCCGTCATAACTCAGTGTGAACCTGTGTCATTGCAATGCCAAGCGGCGCCGGACTGGGTTAATTATAATAGAGAGAAAATGAATCCCCCAGTCTGCCTCGAGATCCAGCGATATAAAATGGAGTTCAACGGAAAGCTGTGTCGTTCCGGGAAATGTTGCCGGATCATGATGATGGTCAAAAAAATAACATGATACACTGGCTATA